AGGGCACCGTGGAGATCAAGTTCCGCAAGAAAGACCTGGTTAAAACCATGCGGAGAGTTGACAAGACCTGTGCTAGTATCGCACAGAGGCTGGGTGAGGAGTGGGACGAGGGTGGGGTTTTCTTTGGGAGAGGGTAAGGAAGCCAAATACGGCTGTAATAGGTACCAACAAACCCAACGCAGGTGCCCAAGATCTCCCCAAAGAGAAGCGCCAAGATTTGGAGATGCAGCTGCAGGCGAGGGAGGAACACCTTCTCCCAATCTACCACCAGGTGGCAGTACAGTTTGCCGACCTCCATGACACTCCAGGACGCATGCAGGAGAAGGGGGTCATCACGGTAATGCTTTCCTAGAACAAGTGTGCTTGTAGGAATTTCTAGGTCCTCCCAGAGGACCTATATTAAACCATATTTCACCCCCTTCCCAGGATATACTCCAGTGGAAAACTGCCCGTAGCTTCTTCTACTGGCGTCTACGGCGCCTCCTTTTGGAGGAAGTTGTAAAGGCGGACATCCTCAGCGCCAACCACGAACTCAGCAACAGCCATATCCAGTCCATGCTGCGCCGGTGGTTCCTGGAGACAGAAGGGACAGTCAAGGTGCCTCCCTTTAAGAACCTGGGATTGCATTGGCCTTTTAAGCTACTGCATCTGCTAAGACCACAAGACTCTTATCCATTTCCTATATGACTTCCCTCGATGTATACTTTTATTGACACAGCCTAGAATCGCTTTGGCTTTCTTCACTGTTGCATCACACTCATATGTTCAACATGTGGTCCACTAAGACCCCTAGACCCTTATCCATATCTTATATGAGTTCCCCTGATGTATACTTTTGTTGACACAGCCTAGAATTCCATTGGCTTTCTTCGCTTCTGCATAACACTCTTGACTTATGTTCCACTTGGGATTTACTAAGACCCCAAGACCCTTATCTAGCTCCTGTATAACTGATCCATATCTTCCATAATGCCCATCAATGTAGATATTACCCTCCTACAATATTGATGCAGGCTGGAATTGTATTGACCTTTTTAGCTGTTGCATCACACTCTTGGCTCATATTTAACTTGGGGTCTACTGTGACCTCTAGAGCCTTATCCATATGCTATATGAATTATCCATATCCTTTAGGACTTCCATCAATGTAGACTCTAGACTTCTATTGATGAGGCCTGGAATTGCATTGGCCTTTTTAGTTGCTGCATCAAGCTTGGCTCATTTTCACTCCCTTTGCCTTTAGGGCTACCTCTGGGACAACAACCAGGTGGTGGTGGAATGGCTGGAGAAACACTTGAAGGAGGAAGATGGAGCCAAGTCTGCCATCCGGGACAACATCAAGTACCTGAAGCGAGACTACGCCCTCAAGCACATTCGGAAGTGAGTATTGGGAGGTTCTGGGGGTTGTTTATGGACAAATGGAGTAGACCCCAGACCCAATATGGGAGCAGTAGTATCAAGGGTTAACTAGAGGACTCTAGAAGTCAACTTTCATTTTGGCAAGTCAACGTTTACCATAGGAAGCCAACATTCAGCTTGGAAGGTCAATATTCAACACACGAAGGTAGTGTTCAGCTTAGGAAGTCAATGGTGTTCCTAGGCAGTGAATTTTAGCTTGATAAGTCAAAGTTAAACTTTTTTTGTCAACTTTGACCCTAAGAAGTCAATGTTCGACTTAGTAGGGCAATACTGACCATACAACGTTAACATTTAGCATGGTAAGTCAATATTCAGTTTGGTAAGATAACACTGGCCATAGGAAGTCAATGTTCAGTTTGATAAGTCAACACTGACCATAAGAAGTCAATGTTCGGCTTGGTAAGTCAACTTGATGTTGGGAAGTTGAATGTTCAGCTTGATAAGTCAGTGCCTGGAACTTGCTTCTCAAGGACATCCGGGATGCCCCAACTCTGGCCATCTTTAGGAGGAGCCTGAAAACATGGTCGTTCCAGTGTGCCTTTCCAGAATAATTGAAACTCTCAGCAATATGTCCTCAAAATGCACTTTATTATTGATT